GATCTGAACTCAGTTCTTCCGGACTCCAGGCCTAGCACTCTATCCACTGTGCCACTTAACTACCCCTTCTACCTCTCACTTGTTAGTTTTGTGATCCTGGACAAGTCACTTAACTTCTCTAAGTTAAGAAGACTTGAGTTCAGATCCAGTCTCTGATACTTACTAACTGTGTGATCCTGGGCAAGTCACTTAGCCCCATTTGCCTCAGTTTCCTCTTCTTTAAAAGGAACTAGAGAAGGAAATGGCAAACCACTCCAATATCTTTACTAAGAAAACCCCAAATAGGGTCATGAAGAGTCAGATAGGACTGAAAAATGACTGAACAAACTTTTGAAGAAAAAGTAGGGTTGGGCCTTCAGATATTGGCTCTCCCACACTCTTTTGAATTTGTTTGCATGAGATACCAAAAGAAAGGAAGGCTGAGAAAGCTAGGTAGGCTTTGAACCCTTGGTAGTTTGTTGGAAGGACAGACTCTAAACTGATTATTAAGAAGTGAATCAAAAGACATTGTTAACCCTAGGTCTGAGTCAGGCACCTACCTCAAAGAGATGTTGTTAGAATCAAATAAAATACATACATAAAGTGCTTTGTAAATCTTAATGCATAGAAATGCTAGTGATTGTGTAAGCTATTATTCTGACACGGATCCTTGACCTTAATAATAAAAAAAAGGAAGTTGATGTTAAAAAAAAGAAAAGACAAACCTGTTGGTACAAGTTAGCTGGTACTCTTCTTTGTTTCAAATAGGTTGGCTCTGGGAGTAAGCATGCCTTTACTAGAAAAAAGCCTTTTTATTTAAAAAATATTCAAACACCTTGAGAATAGCCAGCCAACCCCTTCTTATGAGATAAAAACCACTAAGGCCTTTTCTCCTTAGCCTATTTACTAGGTGAGCAAGCCCCCTGCATTTCTAAAAAGGTTGTATTTTAAAACCCTCCGGCCTTCATCTAAAAGGGAGATGGCAGGGTCTACCTCAGCAGAGGACTCAGATTGCCTTTGACAAAGTCCTCCTGTTTGTGAGCAACGTTCTGTTGATTTTTATTAACCTGAAATACTGTGCTACTTTGTTAATAAAATCCATGGCCCTTCAAAAGAGATGGGCCTAGTAATCCACAAAGGAAAAACTAAATAAATGAAGGGTGCATATTACCTAGATAATGAGATGAATTTGATTGAACAATCCACTGAATTAGTTCATCTGTGCATATATCCCAGAAAGGCACTGCAGACGAGCAATGAGCTGGGCCTAGAACTGAATAGGAAAGAAAGCAACATACACTTGGAAAGTTATATAGCACTTGCAGCTATTCGGAGCTGCTCCTTGCCACCCAAACTCATTGCTTAAACACTTGTATTCTTCTAGTGATTCATGGGGCTGGAAATCTTAAAGCACCACAATCTCAGAAGAATTAACATTTCAGGTGACCCCAAAGGTAGTGAGAAGGCACATGGAAGGTGTAAATCAACTATGGTATAACAAGCTGGCCTCCTCTGTGTCCTTAGGACTAAGGCTTTTTTGACCTTAGGCAATTTGTCATCCCTTTCTTCTCTGGGGTCCCCTTGAGCGCCAGTGGTACTACTTTTGCAACCACATCCCCTGGATTCCCGTGAGCAGAATTGCTGTATCTGATTCTGGGCAGCAGATTCAGTAGCAACATTAAAGTTATTCTCTTCATATACAAAACAACAATCTGTGTGTGCACACAGTTGAAAAGACTGATACATAATATTTTTTTCCCATGGTATACAACTATCATTTGCAGAACCTGGCACTGTTAGCAATTCCACCTCTAAGACTCATTTTCGGAAACCTTGGAGTTGCTACACTTTCCTTTTGTCAACATTTTGTATCTATAGTTGTTCATCAAAACTGTATACTATCAGGGGCAGCTAGGTGGTGCAGTGGATAGAGCACTGGCCTTGGAGTTAGGAGGACCTGAGTTCAAATGAGACCGCAGACACATAACGCTTACTAGCTGTGTGACCCTGGGCAAGTCACTTAACCCCATTGCCTACTCAAAAAACTGCATATAACCATTATCACAACTTGTAGACCTCCCACCCCTTTTACTACCTATCTATTCACTTGTTGACAGTAGAATTTAGAAATGGATATTTTTGTTATTCTGTCATTTTTCAGTCATGCTCGACTCTTTGTGACCCCATTTGGGGTTTTCTTGGCAAAGATAATGGAATGGTTTGCTATTTCCTTCTCCAGCTCTTTTTGCAGATGAGGAAACTGAGTTAAGTGACTTGTTCAGAGTCATGCAGTTAATAAGTGTCTGAGGCCAGATTTGAACTCAGGAAAATTAATCTTCCTGACTCTAGGCCCCATGCTCTATCCACTGGGCAACCTGCATGCCCAGAAATGGATATTTCGAGGCCATCTAATCCCATCCCCCTTATTCTGCAGAGAAGAAGAAACTCAGAGAGTTGAAGTCATAATATGAACCCAGACTTTCAACAACTATTTCATAAAATCAGAAAACCTCAGAGATGGAGAGGACCCCAGAGATCATTTACTACATCTGCAGCTGAACAGGAATATCCTCTCAGAGCGGTGCAGTAGATAGAATGTTGGACTTGGGAGTCAGGAAGACCTAAGTTAAAATCCAGCCTCAGATACTTTCTAGCTATGTGACTTTGGGCAAGTCACTGAAGCTCTGTTTTTGTCTGATACCTCAGCTCTAAAATAGGGATATATTAATATCACCTACCTTCTAAGGTTGTGGTAAGGTTCAAAAGATGTAGTATTTATAAAAGTGCTCACTTAACACACAGCCTGCCACATATCCCCTATATAAATGCTGATTCACTTCTCTTCTCCTCTCTGCAACATCTCAGAGTCATTTAGAATCTGCTAAGAGTCCTTCTGTGATAGAAAAGTATCCATTTTCTGTCAAGAATTCTTTATTATTATTTTAACATACTCTTCTCTTAAACTTGCTCAGTTGATTTGCCCAGTCCATTGGGGCCAGGCCAAACAAATCTTATCCGATTGTAATATTACATACCTTCAAACACTTAAAAAAAGTTCTCTTGTTAACCTTTTCCTCTTCAGGCTAAATATCCCTAATTTTTTCAACTGACCCTCATGCAGCAAGTCCCCTTTGCGTTCTACTTGCCTTTCCCTCCATGAACTCCAGTTTGTCAATGTCTTGCCTAAAATGTGGTGCCTGGGAACTAAGCCTAAAACTTTGATGTGGTTTGACCAGGGTACAGACTTGTCTCCCATGTTCTGGGCACTATGTTTTCTCAACATATCTCAAATCATGTCTGTCATCTTCCTCATCTTCCTCCTCCAAAGCCAGATTCTTATTCTGGCTTTCCAAGTTAGAGTTTAAATCCTTTCTGTATCTGAAACCCTACGATCCTATTGCTGCCACTCAGCCAGTTAATTAGCATCTATTAAGGGCCTACTATGTGCCAGGCTCTGTGAAGTGTGCTAGGATTACAAAGAAAGGCAAAAAGACTGTCCCTGTTTTCATAGAGCTCACAATCTTAGGTGGGGTGATGATAGCATGTAAACAGCAATTTGCAAATAGGACATGTGCAGAATAAATTGGAGATAATTTCATAGAGAAGGCACCTAGAAGATAAGGATGGGAAAGGCTTCTTGCAGAAGTTGTGACTTTTGTTAAAATTGTTTGGAAGGCAGGAAGGCAGGAAGTACAGACTAGGAGGGAGAGAGCTCCAGGCATGGGCTACAGCCAATACAAATGCTCCGAGTCAGGAAATGGAGTAACTTATGGTGTGCAAAGCCCCAAGTTAGGTGGTGAGGGAGGGATGAAGTTTAGATTTGCTTTTAGTATAGTGGAAAGGTCAGTGGATTTTTTTGGAGGTAGTAGAATCAAAGTACCTGGGTTCAAATGCTGGCCTTGCTACTTATGACCTGTATGACTTTGAGCAAGTCACTCAAACTGCCTGTGCTTCAATTCCTCATCATTATATTATGATGATTATGATTATTAAACAAGATGCCCCTTAACATCACTCTCAGCTTGAAATTTATGATCCCAAGCTCCCTCACCTGTCTAGGCCAGAGTCTCACATCTATAACACAAAGCGGTTTGACTAGAATGATCTCAATCCCTACATTTATGAATCTACTGGACCTTACAGGATAGTAGGCTATTGTTACAGTTCCAGCGACTAAGGAGATGTTTTTGACTAGGTAAGAGGCTTTTTTTGGGGGGCCTCATTTCTTACTTAGCCTTAATCGCTGAATGGGCATTGCCTCAGTCAAAATGGGAACTTGAAAAGACCTTAGCTTAAAAAGGTCAAGATCTCCCACTGTATGCTGGGCCATCTCCAGTCGTTCTGACCTACATCTTGCCACTGGACCCAGATGGCTCTGGAGGAGAAAGTGAGGCTGGTGACCTTGCACAGCTCTCCCTCACTCAAATCCAATTTGCTTGCATGTCATGGCATCACCTTCCTAGTATCATGGTTCTCTTTGAGAACGAAGGACAAACAACAACCACCCAGTCGGTGATAATGAAGGCCTATACGAATGCAATGGCAGTGAGAACGCTACTATTAAGAAAAAAAGAAACTTTCATCTGAATGATGTATGCCTGGTTCGGTATGAATGAATAAAGAACTTGAATTTCTAAGGGTCACTGGTTAACTCTTCTCCTTTTACACTCGTAGCCAGGTCCAAAGGGCAGTGCGGTAACAAGTGTCTTTGTCCCTATAGTGGAGATGGAGATGGACAAACAGGCAGAAAGCCCAAGACATTGTAAGGTGAGCTTGAAAGAAGGCGGTGCAGGCTATACCACTCATTGGCCAGCTTGCCTACAGTACTAAGCGGCCAGTAGGGGATGCATGAACCTTTCCCGCCTAGGTGGAATTCCTAAGGAACAGGGGCCTCTTTTATTCCATCTCCGACTCCAAGGTCGTCCCCGCCGCTCCCTAGCCTAGGTGTGTGCCCCTCCCCCCTCTCCTTCGCAGTCATCACAAACCGGCCGGGCTGCACACGCTCCAGAAGCAGCATAGCCCCCACTCCTCGCTCCCCAACCATTCTCCTCCCCTTGCTCCAGTGCGGCGGCGCGCTCTCCGAACGCAGTTATGCTGGGGGACGGGCGGGGGCGCGCGCTCGGAGCTCCCGGGCCAGGGGTCGGCGGCGCGCTGCCAAAGGGCATCCCAGGAGGGAGGGCCGGGTGAGTTGCAAGTCCACTCGGCCGCCGCCTGAACTCGGAAGTGCAGAAAGAGAGAGCGGGTGGTTGTGCACGTCTCTGCTGCCGCCCGGGACAGCCCGGAGGTTGGTAGTCGGTGACCACGGGGGCTCCTTAAGGTGTTTTGGTTTTGCCATTTTAAAAAAATTGCTCCTTTTTACTTTGTAGCATAAAGACCTCCACGAGCTAACCTCCAATTCCTAACCTTACATCTTCGCACGTTCTCGAGGGCTGGGGAAGAAAGTGCCGAGGACGCGGGGAGCATCCCTTAATGAGCCCAGCGCCAGGGTCCCCACCAAGCCCCGGGGGTGTGTGTGGGTGTGTGTGGGGGCCTGAACAAGAAGGAAGAAAAGTAGGGGCCAGGCTAGCGCGGCGCCAGGGATGAAGGGAGTGGGAGGGGCCCCGCCACCAGTGCACGCTCTGGAACTACGGGAATGAAAGCCGGGAAAGCCGGCGGGTGGGGGGCATTCCCAGCAGGCCCCAGCCAGCGCGTTCTCGCCGCGCGCGTGCACGCACCTCCCACCAGCCTGTGTCTCCTCTTTATCTTCCCAACTTCTTGGGTCCACGCCCTGGGGACTTCGAGAATTACTCGTCGGGTTCTGGTGCTTCCCGGGAATATTAGGACAACCTTCTCCTTGCTTCTTCTCGGCTTTAGCTTCCTTCTGCCCTTACTAACTTGCCCCAAGTCGCAACTTCAAAGGGAGCCCAGAAAGGGAAACTCCACTTGTCTTCTTCTGTAATTCATTGGATACAATGTAGGCTAACTCTAACCAGGCACAGTAGTATCCTCATGCTGCAGAATGTGATTGTAGCAAATTTTTTTCCCCCTCCCGAAACTCTGAGTAAAGCCCGTTTCCAGGTATCCAGGCAGCAAGTTAATGGGGAAAGATCTCAAGTTCTGGAGTCCAGAGAGTTGGGTTCAAATCCTTCCTCCAGTGCTTGGAGAAGTCAGTTAATTCCCCCCGGAGGCTTCAGTTTCCTAGTTTGTAAAATGAGATTGAAATAGATGGTTTCTGAGGTTCTTTTCAGATCTGTGACAAGGGTATTTTAAACAACAACAATAACACCACAAACGTGTCAGTCCAGAGGCCTCAGAAACGGTGGAGAGGAAGTAAATTTTCTGGGTGCTCCCACCCCTCTCCGTGGTGTCGCTTGCACTTTGACCTCTATCTTTCTCTTGCCCTATTTCTCACCCTCTTCCTCCTCTTTTTTTCATCCTCTTCAGGTGACTTATTACATTCTGTTTTGGGAAAATAGCACAGATAAGTAGAAACAAAGTAATTGTGAGGCATGGAGCATACTGACAACTGAGGCAATCAGGAAAGGCCTTCTGGAGGAGTGGTACTTGAGCTTAGACTTTTCATCAGGATAGTTTTCTCCTCTGTATCTTTATCCACAGATATTCTGAAATAGGAAAGTTTTCCTGTATCATCGGAGGGGGCCTGTATTTCCCCTTCCCAAAGACAACAGGTCAGATAAAAAAAGCCAAAATATGATGAAACTGGGTAACTGGATAACCTCTAATATGTGTGATGGCACCTTAGTCTTTTGAAACATGGACCCTATTCTCTTGGAGGACAGGATAACTTTATACAAACCCTGTATGTCCCTATGCTTATTCAGAGAATCAGGCCTCTGTGCTGTTTGTCTTCAGGTAGTACCCATCCATGCAGTCTCTGCCTAGATGTTGATCCCATGTCTCATTTTCTTTGGAAACATCTTATGGTGTTATCATCCCTGCAATTTTAATCTCGAGGAGCAGATGTACATTTTACCTTTATTCCTTTGCTGTGGTCTTCAAATTACTAATCTCTTCCTAAATTGAGAATGCTTTTGCTTTCTGTTAGCTCTTATCTCTATTTAACTGCTGATATTTCTTTTTTTGGTTGCAGCCAGATAGTAAATGTAGGCCTCTGTCTTGCTTATACATTAAATACTTTCTACTGCATAGGTCATTTTCTTGGTGTGTGGTTTTGATTGTTTTTCTTTTGACTGTGTTTTTGATTAAATTGAATTAATTCTAAAATTAATTTTCTTCCAGGAGGGCACTCCTAAACTGTGATTTTTAAAAAAATAATAAATTAATTAATTTATTTAATTTTAGTTTTCAACATTTACTTCCATAAGATTTTGCGATCCAAATTTTCTCATCTTTCCCCTCCTCCCACCCCAAGACAGTATGTAAATTGATATAGGCTCAACATATGCAATCATATTAAACCTATTTTCACATTAGTCATGTTGTAAAGAAGAATTAGAACCAATGGGAGAAACCACGAGAAAGAAGAAACAAAACAAAACAAAATAAAAAAGAAAGAGCAAATAATATGCTTTGATCTGCATTCAGACTCCATAGTTCTTTTTCTGGATGCGGACAGCATTTTCCATCATGAGTCTTTTAGAATTGTCTTAGATCCTTGCACTACTAAGAAGAGATAAGTCTATCAAAGTTAGTCATCGCACAACGTGGCTGTTGCTGTGTACATTGTTCTCCTGATTCTGCTCACTTCAGTCAGCATCAGTTCATGTAAATCTTTCCAGTTTTCTTGAAGTCTACCTGCTATTGTTTCTTATAGCACAATAGTATCCTGTTACATTCATATTCCACAACTTGTTCAGCCATTCCCCAATTGATGGGCATTCCCTCAATTTCCAATTCTTGGCCACCACAGAAAGAGCTGCTATGAATATTTTTGTATGTGTGGGTCTTTTCCCCATTTATATGATTTCTTTGGGATGTAGCCCTAGAAGTGCTATTGTTGGGTCAAAGGGTATGCACAGTTTTATAGCCCTTTGTACATAGTTCCATATTGCTCTCCAGAATGGTTGGATCAATTCTTTGTGATTTTTTTTAATTAAATTTTTATGGTTTCTCTGGCTTTCATGTTTAATCAGTTACATTGGATTGTTAAATTTTTTTTTCCTGAAAAACAAATTGAAACCAGCAAATGCTAGATATATGGCACAGGTATGTTTTGTTTTCAGGAAACCTGCTCTGGGAAAATTTTAATTTAAAGAACAGACAATATGTGTGTTTTTAGGGTGGTGATGGTTTAAGAGGGGAGGATTTTTCAAATTGCAAAAGAATTTAGTTTAACTGACCCCACCTTAAACACTTTGGTTATATAGGGAAAATCAAAAGTCTTAGTGCATTTTGAAGTATTAATAACTTAGACTTCTGAGATACCCTGTACTTGATGGGACTAGAAGCACTTAAAGCTAAAATTTAAGATACCATTGTCTATTAAATGGAAATTAGGAATGAAAATAAAATGCCTCTGAAATAAAAATTGAGTATGATCTAATAAACATTAGATTTGTATACTTTTCAGAATGTTGGTGTAGATTGAGTACCTTCTAAATCTCTGCTATAGTAAGATGAGGTACAGTTGCTGTAATAGAAATTGGGAGTGTTCTTTTGTGCTCTGCCTAGACTCCCTGTAGTATGATAGAAGGAGTCTCAATTAGGAACCTAGAGAATCTGGCTTCTAGTCCTGGCTCTGTTACTGATGAGTTGTGTGCTATTGAACATGCCACTTCTCACTCTATCTGTGCCTCAGTTTCCTCATTTCCAAATGGGGATGATAGCAGTCACCAAGAAGGGATAGAATTAATAATAATTTTATTCTTAATCATGAGACAATGTATGTGGATTTTCTCTGGGTAGCATAAGGCACAATACTAATGTAGGTTGTTATGGCCTTCTGTGTAGTGAGAACTCTACAGGCTCAAAATTCTGTTTTTTTGGAAGCTGTAGTTGTAAACGTACTGTCTACACAAGAGTGGCTCATTCTGCTTCCTTCCAGTGTTGTATTGATCCAGAGTGAGCATTCCTCTGGGAATAGTCCTATCATATTATGGGATTATAATTAGAAGGGAACTTCCTGAGGGAGAAGGATAAAATGATTCAGGTTTTTCTTTTCTTTTCTCTTTGACTTCCTTCTTTCCTCCTCTCTTTCTTCCTTCCATTTCTCTCTCTCTTCCTCTCCCTCCCTGCTTCCATCTCTCTCTTTTTCTCCTTCCCTTTTGCTCTCTCTCTCTCTCTGTCTTCCTTCCACCCTGACCTTCCCTTCTCCAGGTCTCAGAGAATTTCTTCTGATTTGAAGGCATTGACTTACATGATTTAAGGGCCTTTTCAGCTCTAAACCTATGATCCTTGGATAATAACTCTGGGTAAATTACAATACTAAACTCTCAATTTCTTTCTCTTTTTAAAATATATTTATTTTTATTGCTATCTTTTGTTATTACCATTACCTTCATTTCTGAACATATCCATCCCCTCCCTAGTGAGCCATCCCTAGTACCAGATAAAAAGAAATGAAACGTACTATCCACTTCCTGATAGAGAGGCAATAGATTTAGTATGCAGAATGAAAAATCTTTATTTTTGGGAATTTATTTTGCATGACTATGCTTATTGTTATAAGAAATTTGTTTTTTCCCCCTCATTTCCAATGGGGTAGGAGGTGAGAGGGAGAAAAAATAGATTTCTATTTATTAAAAAAAATTTAAAAATAGAGAAGTGGGAAGGAGTGCTATAGATGGTGAATGTTGCATTGTACTTGCAGAAGAGGTCACTGTGTTGCTAGTTTTGCTGAATTGTTTTGCTTTGTTATGAGACCTCTCAGGGAGTGGGCATAGTCTGTAAATACGATATAAAAGCAAAACATTTCTATAAAACTAAAAAATTAAATGGAAAGTACATAGTAGAAAAATAAAAAAGAAAGGGAAACTAGCAGTTTAGCAAAAGTAACTGACACATCAATAGTCAGATAGTATATGAACTGGTGCAAGCACATAGATCCCCACATGTGCAAAGAAAAGAGAGAGGGGCATTTTCTTGTCTCTTCTCCACAGCTAAGCTTAGTGATTAACATTACATAGGTTTTTTGTTTGTTTTGTTTTATTGTTCTTTGCCGCCCCCTTCCCCCATTTACATTGTTATACTCATTGTGTATATTGCTTTTCTGGTTCTGCTTACTTCTCTCTATTGGTTCCTATAAGTCTATTCATCTAGTATGCAATTTCAAGGGCATAGACTACACCAAGGGTCACAAAAATGCTCCAGAACTTCCAAGTGATGACAGATATTTTAAAAATAGTATTTGGTTAGAAATGTGCAGAGCTGGAGGTGATTGTAAAAAGTGATAGGGAATGGGAAAGTATCAGTTAAAGTAATCAGAATTGAGAAGACAGTGAAAAAGACACCTGATACATTTTTAACATTGACTTGATAAACTGGCCAGCAGAATAAACCAAGAGGAGAGGCTGAATCCGATTTTCTCAGATCAGATCTTTAGATTGGATACAGTGAGGTAAGGATTTGGGTTTGTAAGCATCTGTCCTAAAAATGCAAAGATTCGTGAAGGTGGGAAGGGTTTAACAATCAATTATCCATCATTGTGGATGAGTTTAATAAAATCGCTTTTTTTTTTTGCTTTTAGGCAATTGGGATTAAGTGACTTGCCCAGGGTCACACAGCTAGTGTCAAGTATTTGGTCTGAGTTCAGATCTGAATTCAGATCCTCCTGACTTCAGGGCGGGTGCTGTATCCACTGCGCCCCCTAGCTGCCTCTAAAATTGCTTTCTCCTTACCACTTAACCAATCTACTGATAAAAATGTGGAACAGAGCAGGACCAAGGACAGAGCTCTAGGACACCTCCCTCCAGGTTCAATTAAATATAATAACAACAATTTATTAATGGGTTTTACTATATAAAAGACACCTCTAGTGCAAATACAAAGTGGTAGGTTTGAGGTAACCACAGATTGATATCTGCAACTTATGTAGGTGTTAAGGTATTAACAGTCATTCACACTGTAGCTTGAATGAGTTCACTCAGCATCCTGCCAGTTAACCATTTCCAAACCCACTTAATTTTATTATCATCCAGGTCATATTTCTCTGTCTTGATTATAAGGGTATGATGAAAGAATCAGCCAAATGCCTTGTTAAAATCTAGATATCCTGAATATATACTCATGCCGTCTAATTGTATTCTCTTTTTCTCTAAGTGCTAAGAAATCATTCTTTTGATAATCTGTGTTTGAATTTCATGAGGAAGTCAAGCACATGAGGCCTTGTACTTTGAATTACGTACTTTCCTCTATTGTAAAACTGAGATGGTGTTTCCCTATCTCAGCTTCTGTAGCAGATAACCCTAGGGTCCAGAGCTTTGATCGTGAATGAGGAGATTTAAACTGTTGGCTTAATTTATGTAAGGTTAGTGGATTATCCGGAGACTTGTTTGGTCTCTTCACTTAGCAGTATTACTTTGTTGCATACTGTTATTCAATAAATGTGATTGATTGACAACATCCTTTCCCTGATAGCCACTGCATTATGTCTTATAAAATCTGCCCCCCCATTTGTTTTTCAATTTTAGGGACATCTTATGGATTTCTCCAGGATCCTGCAATAAGTAGCAATGCTACCCAGATGGGAACTGTTTCTCTACCTGCTCGTTTCTCTAGGTTTCCACTTTTATTCTTTCTATGAAGTCTACAAAGTCTCTAGAGGTAAGGCCTTATGCTTTCTTGCCTTCTCTGAAGGGGGAGTAGAGACTGTCAGAAGTTGGTACACACACACACATGTATACACACATATGTACACATATATGTATGCATGCAGGTATATGTATGCATATATATGTCTATGTATGTGTATACATTACACATATATTAAACATGTATGTATGTATATATTTTGTTGTTTTTGTTGTTCGGTTGTTTCAGTTGTGTCTGACTCTGTGGCCCCATTTGGGGTTTTCTTGGCAAAGATACTGGAGTGGTTTTCCATGTCTCTCTCCAGCTCATTTGACAGATGAGGAAACTGAGGCCAACAGGGTTAAGTGACTTGCCCAGGGTCACACAGTTATTAAGTGTCTGAGGCTAGGTTTGAACTCAGGAAGATGAGTCTTCCTGACTCCAGGCCCAGTGCTTTACCCACTGCGCCCACCTACCTGCCAAATGTGGTGTACATAATATGTAATATAATAACATTTATATAACACATGTGTATGTCTGTATTTCTGCCACAGTAGCATTTTGATAGCATTTTAAATGAAAGACGTTTTATTGTTAACACCTCTAATAACCTTGAAGATATTGGCTGCTCCATGAATGTTCTCTTATGTCCCAAGGCAGAAGTGATCTCTGCCTCCTAACACCTCATAGGCTTTGTTCATACCTGTCTATGTGCTTCCTGGCCTTCCAGTTCTGCATTATAATTACTCATATCTTCCCTTTCTAGCTAGGTTGTAAGCTTCTTGAAGGAAAAGACCATGTCTAATTTCATTTCATATCTGTAGAGCCTGGCAAGTACCTTTATGCCTAGTAGACACTTAATAGATGCTTATTTAGTTAATAAATGAATCAAGAGAAAAGTTCATGCAAATTTTCAGCACTTAACCTATTTATTCTCTCTCTCTCTCTCTCTCTCTCTCTCTCTCTCTCTCTCTCTCTCTCTCTCTCTCTCTCTGTTAGGCAATTGGGGTTAAGTGACTTGCCCAGGGTCACACAGCTAGTTAAATGTCAAGTGTTTGTCCTGAGGCTGAATTTGAACTCAGGTCCTGCTGACTTCAGGGCCAGTGCTCTATCTACTGTGCCACCTAGCTGCCCCCCTAGTTATTCTCAAAATACGGTTTTTTACATGAGTCTATGGTTTGTTATCTTGTAATGTTAGTGTTTTGTTTCTATTAATATATAATATACATGATATTTTATTTAATATAACTTTTTAAAATATAACTTTATTTAATATAACTTTTTTATGACTAAGTTCTTTGTATATGCTATCTCATTTATCTTCACAACAACTCTGTAAGGTAGGTGCTATTGTTATTCCCATTATATAGATGAGGAAACTGAGGTGGAAAGGTTAAGTGACTTGCCTAGAGTCATACAACTAGTGTTTGTGGGAAGATTTGAACTTGAGTTTTCCTCACTTCAAGTCTAGTACTCTATCCATTATACTTTCATAGCTTTGAATTTTTGTTTCTGGCATGACAATAAGCCCTTCCTTTCTGTAAGTGTTCAAAGGTAGCCTTTACTCTTACCAGTCTGCCCTGATTCTTTCTCCCCCTTCCGCCTCCCCCAGCTTCCAGTTTCTTAGGGAGGCTACTTTGCTAAGCTCTGACTCCGAGGGGTTTGAAGGTAGAATATTTGCTTGTAGGTTCAGCATTGTGACTTCCTTTCAGTACCCGACATGAAGAGAAGAGATGATCATCCCCTGCTGAAATAGGAACAATATGAACAGCAAGGAGGGCGGGCAATTTCAGTATGCTGAAAATATGTTGGGAAAATAAATGGAAAGTAAATGCAATTTATGCTTCTGGTTTGAGGTAATGGACAGTAGCCTCCCCTTCCCTCAGGATGAAAACTGCTTAGATATGAATGTACTCCATAGAGCTGTTTCCTATGCCCTTTCTTATCACACAGACCAAGCTGAGTTGAACAGATTGGATAAGTAGTTAGATCATATCTAGTGCTGCTCTTTGTGACTTATCCTTTCCTGACAATGTAGATTTGTGGCAGTTATTATTAGATAAAAGAAAGAAATGATTTTAAGGTAAAATGACAGTGATGTATGAGTGTCAGATTTACAACACTGTATGCCATACTTGCTTGCAGAAGTGGCTGGACATTTAACTTACTTCCCAGGAGATGCTCTCACAGTCATGTTGAAACTCTGCAGAGTGAGTAGCTTTCTCTACCTGTACTATTCCTTAGCACCACTGTATTTTTCTTCTTTCCAAATGACTCCCTGAATTCTCTAGAATAAAAGCCTCCCTTGCAATAAAGAAGTGCAATTAAACAAAACAAGCCAACGCATTTGCCCTATTTGACAATGTATGCTCCATTCAGCTCCTATAGTCTACCACCTTTCTGCTGAGAGGGGAGGTATGTTTCCCATTAGGCCACCGAAGTCATGGTTTGTCATTGCATTGATCAAATTCCTGATGGCTTCCAATAGTGTTTTCCATCACATTATTGTGTGAATTGTTCTCTTGGTTTTGCTTACTTCATTCTGCATTGTATTATATATATCTGTATCTATATATCATTCTGCATTATACACATCTTCCCAATTTCTTTGAATTCTTTATGGCCATCATTTTTATGTTGCAATAATATTCTGTTACACACACACACACACACACACACACACACACACACCCATTTTGTTCAGCTACTCCCAAAATGATGATGGGGGTGGCTAGATTATGAAGGGCTTTGAATGCCAAGCAGAGAATTTTATGTCTGATCCTGAAGGTGATAGGGAACCTCTGGAGTTTATTAAGCATAGAGGTGACATGGTTGGACCAGTGCTTCGTGGAGGATTGTCTTGAAGATGGATACTATTAAATCTTCTCTTCAACAGGCTAAAGCAACCCTAGTTCCCTCAACCATTTTTTTCCAACTATTATTTATTTATTTTCCTCTCACCTCCTTCTGACTGGACAAAAAAAAAAAGACCAAAACCTTTGTAACAAATATGCATAGTCAAGGAAAACAAATTCCTGCATTTGGCCAATCTCTTTTTATAATCATATGTTTCCTCAGTGATACATCTGATGTCACTTCTTGCCCCCTGTCATCTTTGGAAAGATACCATCCATAACGAATGCTAGTCTTCTGAATAGATACTCCATTTTAATGCTTGGAATCCATTTGATTCATGCTGGAATACTAAAACTTCCCTTTGAGAAGGTGCTTCCCATTGTTTCTAGAACAGAATTTTTTAGTAAATACTCAAATTAATTCCAAAGAACATATGAAGGAAGACACTATCTGCATCCAGAGAAAGAACTGATAAATAGAAGCATATATAGAGTAATTTTACACACACACACACACACACACACACACACACACACACACACACACATACACACACACACACACATACACATGCATATTTGTGTGTAATGGTAGCCATCTCTAGGTGAGGGGGAGGGAAAAAAGAATAAAAAAGAAATTATATGATAACTTTATCATGTATTTAAAAGGAATACTAAGTTGTCCATAATAGATTTATAGTTTCATGTGCAATCATCTTTTTTATTATGGTATATTGTGGAAATGCTTGTTTTATTCTATAAATTAAAAAAAGGAAATACATCTTCTAGTCCAGAGAGAGGTATAGGGTCCTCTTTCTTATAGTCCAATCCATAATTTTATATTAGTGTTGTGGTTTTTCTTGAGCATTACAGAAGAAATATGTCATGTATAATCAAGTCTTCATCTATTAATGCACTTGCCAGTTAGCTAGCTGATGCTAAATCACCTGGGCCTCCCTAAAGCTTGTATAGCCAGGAGAATGGAGGTCATGTTCAGAATTTCCACTTGATTCTATGGCTCAGGAAACCTGAGGCTTGAAGAATTTCAAGACTTCACTGGGAAGCTCTGCTTCAGTGTTGCATTTCTGGTGTATTGAACTATTTGGGGTAGATCATTTGGATGTGATTCTATACATATATGAAGTTGTGGATAGAGCAGAGAGTCAGGAAGATCTCAGTTCAAATCCAGGCTCAAACCCTTACTAGCGGTGTGACTCTGGGCAAGTCACTTAACCTTTCTCAGCCTTAGTTTCCTCTTCTGTAAAATGGAGATAATAATAGCACCTACTTTCCAGGGTTGTGAGGATACAATGTGACAATATTTGTAAAGGGTTTTGCAAGCCTTAAAGCACTATATAAATGCTAGTTATGATGATATATCTTATAGCAGACATTCTGTCTGGTCACTCAGTGTAGTTGTGGGCCACCTCTTTCCATTCTTCCAAATCCAATATTTCCCCAGGGCCAAGCTGGGGCCTACATGTAGATGTGATCAGGGAATTATGCCTCAGTCCAATAAATATGAAAGGGAAATTTTCAGCTAGCGTAGAACAAAGCAAATTGCTCCTTTCCTCCAAAGTGAAATGGAAATTTTTTGGGGTGGGATACGATCTACTGTCCAGTGCTGTTCCCTTTTCCCCCCCATCCTCAGGTAATCAAGACTGACTATATTGAGTATATGGGCCATATTTTGGCAAGGTGGTAACTTTTATGTGTGTCTGTACATCCATTTATTTTCACAGGAAGGTATAACATGGTGGTTTTGAAAGAGTTAATACACCTTCTCCTCTCCACCCCAAATCAGCCACTTACATCTTGTAGTGGCAGATGAGATCTAGAGTTTATGCAGTACTTGGATGAAAACATTAATTCTCATTAACAGCCATTACCTATGGTAATGAAAGATTAAGAATTAAGAAATATCGGAATTCATTTGTCAGTGAATAATATTTTTCATGTGGTCTGTGGTCATAAAATATGCTTCCTTTAGTAATGTGCCCACTGCTCTCCTGATATGGTTGTGGTGATGTTTGGTGGTGACTTGTTGCTGGAGTGTAAGGCATAGTTTCTCCTGAAATTTAGTGGCTTCTTTGCTCTAAAAATTGGACAGGAATAAAACAACTGCATAAATCAGTTTTTAAAGCCATAGCCACTTCATGTCCTTTCGGCTTCCAGAGA